CTGCTGTTCGCAAACCGAATTGATCGTGAACAGAAGCATTTGTTAACCGAGGTACAGAAACCAAATTGACTATATCATTAGTAGGAGGAGGTGGGAGAGATCAGTTATAACAGCAAAGATGTGACCAGGACCTGAATAGGTCATGAATTGTTCATATGCAAATTCCAACTTAAGTTAAAGTGGAAGAAGAAAGCCAACCATTTTCCATGATATAATCTTGAGCATATACCCACCATTTTCAAGGAGAACATCAGGAATCACGTGAAGTCCTGAACTTAAATGATTGGCAGCTAGAAGAATTGTGGAAAGAATTTAAAGAAGCCACTAAAGATGAATGTGAAAAGAGACTGTCAAAGAAACAACAAAGCAATCTGGATATCATGACAAACAGTGGAAATGATCAAGGAACCAAGAAGATCTCAGGAAAGAAAGATTTTTAGAGAGCTGTCAGAAAAGACAAGAAGGCGTATTCTAACAACATCTGTAAAGACATCAAAGATGGAAACATACATAGAAAAACAAGGAAAGTCTTCCAACTGATCTCTGAACTCAGAAGGAGGTTCCAACCTCAAATTGGTATGCTAAAGGATGCCAATGGACAGATAGTAAACGATTCAAAAATCAAAGAAAGATGGAAGGAGTATACTGAAATTCTGTACAGCAGGGATGTCAAGATCCAAGATACCTTAGAAGATATCCCCTACTTAGAAGAACCTGTAGTACTAAAAGATGAAGTTAGATCAGGACTCTGGGCATTACTAAGTTGGAAGGCTAGAGGAACTGATGGAATACTCACAGAAGTATAGCAAACAACAGAAGAAGAATCAGTAAAAGTTCTAACTAAGATATGCCAGCAAAACTGAAGAACAACACAGTGGCCAACAGATTGGAAGAGGTCAATCTACGTTCCAATAATAAAGAAAGGAGACTTAACAGAGTGTGCAAACTATCATACAATATCCTTCATTTCACATGTGAGCAAAATAATGCTTAGGGTCATCCAACACAGATTAGGGCCCTACATGGAAAAGGGGATGCCAGATGTTCAAGATGGCTTTAGAAAGGCGAGGAACACGAGACATTATTGCTGATGCATGCTGGATATTTGAGAAAGCCAAAGAATACCCAAACTCACTATGTGATTCATTTATTATTCACATTTATTATTTATTTATAATGCACATATAACCATTTAAATACACACATACGTACTACACCCACACCCACCCACACATATGCATATACACACGTCCACCCACATCTATACACCCACATATGCATATACATATATACGGAAACATACAGTACATATATTCACATAAATATATATTACACACGCACACATGCGCATGCATATATGTACACACAAACACATATACATTATATATATATATATATATA